ACCATGCTAGACAGAGAGCAATGACTTCTGAAAGTTATTCTCTCACTTCTACATAAGTGTATGTCTAACCCCTCCAAAAAATATAAAAGGAAAAAAAACCCAAGAAATAAATCAGAAAATGATCAAACATCATGAAGATACATTCCACTGAAGAGATTCAGGTCCTATACAGAAGCCAGTCTTGCAGCCACTTCATGTTATAGAGTCAAGTAAGTGTAATACAACAACCCAAAACATTAACTGAATTAATTTGATTTTATTTTGTGAGTCAGTGTCTCATCATGTCCAGGATGCTTCCTAAGTATTGTATGTACCAACATGGCTAAATTTGTTTTTGAAAATAGAGATGAAGATATAGAAATGTATTTTTTCAATATCCTAATACCATATCACAAAGACTTATTTTTTTAAAGATTTTATTTTTTATGTATATAACATTCTGCTTCCATGTATATCTGCACATCAGTAGAGGGCACCAGATCTCATAACGGATGGTTGTGAGCCACCATGTGGTTGCTGGGAATTGAACTCAGGACCTCTGGAAAAACAGACAGTGCTCTTAACTTCTGAGCCATCTCTCCACCCTGACTTAATTTTTAAAGTCCTACAAAGTCCAAAAAAATAAAAACCATAGAACACGCTGACCTCTGAAAGATGCTGGCTGTTTAAGAGTAGCAGGTGCAATAAGTGGTTGTAATTGAGATCAGGTATTTCAAATATAAAGCTTTGATTCTATAATTGAGCCTCCAAATATGGTTGATTACTATTTAAAGCCAAAGGGGATATTCAAAGGATCTTAAAAAGTACAAACTCCAGGGGCTAGGAAGATAAATTAGGTGGTAAAGTGCACACTTTGCAAACACAAGAACCTGTGTTTGATCCACAGGACCCTCATGAAAACAAGCAAGCAAACAAACAAAAAAAGAAGCTCGGCATGGTGGTGTGTTCTTGTAATCCCAGTACCAAGGATTCCCTGGGGCTTATTGGCCAACCATCAAACCTAGAGAATTCCAGACCATGACTGCCTTTAAAAAAGGAAAAAAAGGCCGGGCGTTGGTGGCGCATGCCTTTAATCCCAGCACTCGGGAGGCAGAGGCAGCCGGATCTCTGTGAGTTCGAGGCCAGCCTAGTCTCCAAAGCGAGTGCCAGGATAGGCTCCAAAGGTACACAGAGAAACCCTGTCTCGAAAAACCAACCCCCCCAAAGGCTTCCCCCTCTAAATAGTCTGAGGAGACTTGTAAAAATTGTTCACTACTCTCTTGGCCAAGAAAACTCCATAAAATCATACAAATGAAAAGGTTCAAATCCTTGTGTTCCCTTTAAGAATATCCTTGAAACTGTCTAAGTCATTAAGGGCATGCACATCAGAAAAGCCACTAAGTATCAGAAAATGTCACTTTTAAATAGTAATGTGTGGTCTTCAACATGTCTTGCATATTTGGGAAATTCACAGAGACAGATGATCTGGGCAAGTGGGAGCTCACTGACTCCAGACTAACAGCTGGGGAACCTGCATAAAACCGAACTAGGCCCTTGAACGTGGGTGATAGTTGGGGGGCTGGGCAGTCTAATGGGGTCACTGACAGTGGAACCAGTATTTATCCCTAGTGCCTGAACTAGCTTTTTGGAGCCCATTCCCTATGGAGGGATACCTTACTCAGCCTAGATATGGGAGGAGGACCTCGGTCCTGTCTCAAGTGATGTGACAGACTTTGTTGACTCCCCATGGGAGGCCTTAACCTCTCCAAGGAGTGGATGGTGAGTGGGGTGGGGTGAGTGGGAACTGGGGTTGGTATATAAAATAAGATTGTTTTAAAAATAAAAATATTTTTTTAAAAAGTAATAATGTGTGCCTTTCTGGTAGTATAATGTTGGAATAAGTAGGTGTGTCCAGGTCAAACAGTAGGGCTGGACTTAGGGTCTGTATTTCAAAAACAATGCTGAATTTTTGCTGCATATATTTAAACATGCAGAGAGTAATGCTGAACTTAAGGGCTTAGATGTAGTCTCTGTAGTCATTGAACACATGCAGGTTAGCTTAACATGGGCTGTTGAACTTAGAGTTCATGGTCTGATTAACCCATACATGAATGCCCTCTGTCACACTGAGATGATCTTCACTAACAAAGAACAAATTGTGCTTAAGCTAGAAGAAACTGCATAAACTAAAAATGTATCCCCAAGAAACATAAACACTTACGGCTTGGGAATAAATTCAGCATAAATTTAAAGTTTAATAAAAAAAAGATGGATGGCACCCGAGGAATGACATCCAAGGTTGTCCCTGGAACTCCACATGCTTGTACACACACACACACACACACACACACACACACACACCGA